GTCTATTTATAATTATTAACATGTAGATCTGAAAACGTTTCATACAAAGTTTGTAGGTATGTTTGTGATCTCTCTGAATAGAGAACATTGTATACAGTTCTTTAAGTTAATATAGAAATCCTGAATGAAACTCAGACTAATGAACTGCCTTAGATCTCAACAGCCGACCTCGAAGACTTGATTGACTGTGTATCTAGAGAGGGCTATCCGACGAAATTCCGATCTTCAAAGTTCCTTTAAACAGTTTCACTAAAGACGCTTTTGGAGAAAGAACCTCTTTAAGTTGTGAATATACGGGAATATACCATTGATCAGATAAGGTCTTAAGAGGTTTTTAAAGAAATATGGAACTACTCTCACCATATCTACTTTCACGGTTGATCGAAATGTTTTTATCTCTTAAACGCTATGATCCGTTTCGAAATGAACTTCTGTCTCATTCTTGTCTCATTCTGCTTAAACTGCAGACTCCTTTATTGGTATGTTAATTCAACACCCGTTGAAGCAATTCCTTCTATTAAATTTCATTGCTAAACTATATACTTCACTTTTGTAGGTGATCATATCATCCTTTATTTCACTTTTATTCCATCGTCTTTTCTCTTCCAGTCTCCCACACATCTGTCTGTAAGTCTAGTCTCTATCCGACAACTTTTGTGCTTGAAAGTTTTTATTTATTTTTTAGCGTATTCTCATTGTATGCATATAGTATTGGGTATACTTACATATGCCCTTCCATTTAGACGCAACTGATGAAAATACGTTAAAGTTAGCATGAACATCATGTCACTAGAGGCCAGTCTACCTTTGTACTTCTGGCTTCCTACCGTCAAGAGCATGTCGTAAGTAATTCTGAGAAGACAGCGTTAGTGTTACCTAATTTAGTACCAAGAAATTGTGTATGATAATATTTTGTTTAAAAATATGCATCTCTTTAGAAATTCTTTTGTAAAATGTAAGGAAACTCAACATATTTATATTTGGCCTTTGCCCGGCATTTCTGTGCTAGTACCTGGGTAAGAGGAGATTTTACAGTTTTGATGAAAGCAACATAACACTCTCTCTCTCTCTCTCTCTCTCATAATCTGCATAAGCCTTGCAGCAAACACTTGTGCTACATCTCTCGTAATAAAGAAGTATTCCATTTAAAATATCAGTGACGTCATATTGTTGGTTCATGTGACGTCGATAGCTTGTGTTAGAAACAGAAATTAACAAATGAACAAACAAGTTGAAGCGTTGGAAACTATGAACATCGGAGTGAGGGGGCAGCAAAATTGTGTTAGTGTGAAATTTCCATTCAGTGGTTGAGGGTGGTGGACAAGGTTCCGAACGGGTTAGGGATAAAGCGGTCCATGAAATGTAATAGCCGTTTTAGAATGTGTCGTACGGTACTATTCTGCTATTGGTAGGTGTTAGAAATAGGTTCTGGGGTGTATGGGTTAGAACGCATTGGAAACATCCCTATTTCTCGTCAGTCATCCTCGTGTCGAGGACACGCTGAATTAATTGTTAGGGATAGTGTCTGTCTGTTTAGAGGGCGGTGGAGGCAAGCCTCCTGGCTTACTGATTTGGACAGACGGCCAGTCGTCCGTATTTGTCATGAAAGCAAGTTAGCTAGGACAGGGACATTTTAGTAACATGCACGTCAATAACTGCTGCTTCCACTCACTGTTCTGGAATATTGAAGTCTTTAACGTGATGACTGACAAAACTGAAACGCAATCTGCGTAAAAATGTAGACTCTTAGATCCATCGAGTGTTCCAGTAACTACTTAGACCTATATGCAGGTTGTTCAGTGAGAAATATTTTATCAGGGGAAATTATAAACCAAAATTAAGGGTAGTGATTTATTGATACATTGTTCTGTAATCTCTTCAGAATATAAACAAAATTATACAGAGTGAGCCGTACGAGAGTTAAGTTTTGTAATCGTTTCAAAATTAATTATTCATTAAATAATTTATGGCTCATTTAACGACACAATCAGTAGCCCATATTATATATTATCGAATGAAATTGTGGCCTGATTAAGGTATTAGGCATTTGCCATAAGAGGCTGGGAAAAACACAGAAACCTCAGTCTTGACAGCCGGTCTGTAAAGCAAGATTTGAACCCTGAACCTTCCAATCACGAATCAGGATTATTAATTTCTATGCCACAACGTTCGTGAGGAATATAGGCCAACAGAATTTGGCTTCTCAGGCGTCAGTAAGGATATTCACCGCCATCAGTTATTATTTTGCAATTCCGTTGATGCTTTAAGTAAATATAAAATGAGGACTGTTTACGTTAATGTCGTTTGTCCTCCGTGTGGATCACACCTAGTAAAGTCACGTGGAGTTTACGAGGTCCCCACTGTCATTTGTAGGTCTGCATCTCTACAGCGTTAAGTTCTTGGTTCTTCTGTAGATAATATTTTCCTGTAGTCATGGTGAGTTCCGGTTTGTTCTTCTATTTATAGACCTAATGTGGATTTCAACTTGAACCTGGCCGCACGCGAAGAGGTCAGGAGATAGTTGTTATCTTCATATGGTAACCATCCGCGTCTAGGATCCGTTACTTAATCATGAGGACCGAGACAGCTCTCGAAACGTCGTTTTTACGACGTTGAAAAACGAAAAATTGTGTAATAAATATTCATTGGTCTTCAGTTCGTTTTATACAGTGTTTTATTGGCACAGGAGAAAGTAAATCGGATTACACCTTTCAGCAAAACTTGAATTAACCAGACCTTTAAGAAAATTGTGACTGGGAACGAACTTGTGTAGTTCAGTTCGATTTAGAATTGACGTATAAAGTCCCTTATTTTAAGTATTCTCTCCAAGATAGAAAAAAGCGTAAATATGAAAATCGAACGTAAAAATTAAAATGGCTGTAAATTGTAGCGCCTTGTAGTCTGGTGGTAGAAGTTCACCAAAGTTTCAGAGATCTTTGCTGCATCCATCATCAGGGCGATAAATAATAATCGCCTTAAGAACCTCAAATTCTACAAAGGTAGATATTACATTGTGATATCAAGGGAATTGTCAGTTAAAAATTTCATTCTTTGAAAGAGTCAACCGAACATTCTAGCATTCGCTCTGAACATAGAACCTTATTTTACTCAGCAGTTATGTGACTTCTTCTATATGGCACACGCGAAGAAAGATAACTTTAATTTGTTAATCCCTGCATGTAAGTTAATTTGGTTTCATATAACTTGTATTGGGCCGTACCTTGCAGAAAATACCTTTCATGACTGCAATTTGACATTGATATAGTGTTGAGTGACCACAGTTTTTGGTATTACACGGTTCCTAGATCAGGAGGCCCTTCTATTCTGATTTGACAGATGCGGTCCATTGGGCACGTAATAGCATTGGACTGCCAGCAAATTACTCTCCACACCACAGAGGTTAGAACGAAAAAGGAGATAATCAAATTTAATAGTACGCTGGTGGAATGTTACCAAACAAAAATAACATTGGCATTGTGTTAACGTTTAGAAGGCGGTGAAATTTAGTATGCAATTCACTGAAACTGTTTTATATTGGATTTTGCCAGAGTAAATTCGGATTGGTTTTGCTATCATATAGATAATCGTGGGTGGGAACAGTACTACCAATACCATTAATTAAAAGTACCTTTTGTCCCATAAACCTGAGAATTTAATATGCCCTCTTCTTAAATCGTGACTTTCAACGATAAACATGAAAACGCTCGTTCACCACACTTGTTAATGTATGTCGAACCATTATAGCGTCATGCTTTACTCGATTAGATATTAACAGCTGTTTCCAAATGCATGCTTTTCGATGTTTCATGCCTCGCTTTCCACGATATTTATTTAATACAAGCAAAAATTTATTTTGTAGATAAACATCTGTTGTTACAGAGCTATTGGACTTTGCAGGTAAAACGCGGAAAGTAAATATGTTTATTTTCCCGTTTGTTACTTAAATGTGCGTAATACTGAAAAATGTATTAAATAATGGTTACAGATATTAATGTGATCTATATTTTAGGCCTCTATCATGTAACATTTGTTTGTTCTCCACTGTGTTCTTGAGGAAATTTACAATAATCTGTTTGAACTAGAAATAAACTGTGGTCGATTTTGAGCCTGTATGTAAACATATTGTCTGCTGATTAATTTCTAATATAGACACCAATAAAATATTTACGTAAATAGAGAAAGTTGATAGGTTGGTGGATAAATAGCCATAAATAAAATTTCGATTGTATTAGGTTCATTACAATCAAATCCTTAAATGGAATTATTGTAATCGATAATATTCGTAACACGTATCATTGAAATCAAAAATGTTATGAACGGAATTTTATCCTATTCTCTGACATATAATTACAGCCGTTTACTGCAAAATTCCTACTCTTTACCTATAAGGTGCAGAAATGTTATCGAAATCCATTGAATAGTTTGATATAAAACATTATGTTTGTGCAAATAAGGCATAAGAATGTTTTTTTAACTTTCTTCTTCAATTCTCTTTCCAAAGCGTTAGAAGAAGATTATCCACTAGTGACGTTACTGTTTGTGCGCAATAGATCTTTCGATTATTTGACAAGTTCCTATGGTCACATGAGTCTGTCTCTAAGTGATAGTTTGGCTCTAGGTGAAAGATTTCTATAAGACAAATAAAACCAATAACCTGTTAGTTTAATACTACCAGTGCCAAGTTGTATGCTAATCAAATAGTTAATTATTTATTTATTAACTCTGTTTTTAAAGTATAATGAAATTACAGTGTTTATGTAACATTTTTACTTCTTTGACACTTAAGGCGTTACTGAGCACAAAATATTATTTTATATATCGTAATGTCGATATCCGGGTTCCGATTCGACTG